GCGAACGGGATTTGAGTTCGCAGATCCGGGGGTTGACGATGTAACGGCAGACCTTAGGGTAGCCATGGTCGGGAGTTTCAAATTGCCTAGTGAAAATGTACAAATGAGGTTGCCGCCCTTCCTGCTGGAAAAACTGGGCGGTCTGGAACTTGTTGGACAAGCGGTAGCCGACCTCGCAAGCCTGACATATGAAGAAGCGGCGGTACATCGAGAATACTACCGGGCCTTCTTAGAAATGGGACCGTTTAGCGGAGAGCAGAAGTACGAGGTGCTGCGCATCCTGCGTGCTATGTTTAGTACCAGGCCAAGGGTTTCGGTCGTGGGAAGTGAGGTCCTGTGGGGTGTCCGGCGGGAAATAAGCCATGGGATGGCGTACGTAGATGATCTGTACCGATTGTATGAGCAGATGGAGGAGGGAACAGGTCGGTAATAGGGCCAAAGAGAGGGGAAAGAAATAGAAGGGGAAAAGAAGCACTAGGCTAGGGATCGGGGAATTGTTTGGGTGGAAAATTGAAGACCAAGTGGAATAAGTTAACTCGCGTGTTGTTTAAAACTGTGCAGGGGACCTCTAAGTCAGAAATGGCGATGAGACGCGCCCGGATGCCGCGACGACCCATGCACCCGCGGCCACCCACGGAAAACGGAGATGGATGGGAGGTGTCGCTCCCAGCAAGCTACATGATTCAAGGATTGGATACCGAGTGGAGAGTCGTGACCCTGGGAAGAGGTCAGGTGTTCATGATGGTGGAATGTTTGTGGGATGGTATGAGAATTAACAGGGGACCGGGGGACGATCTGTACACTGATCTTAGGGTGACGGGGACCGTATACCTGCCAGAGCTTGGGTGGCACATGTTAGGGACGGAGTTAGCACTAGGGCATGGGTTGTTGTCAATCTTCCAGAGGGCTACTAGAGTACTAAACCGTGTAGGCCAGGAAGTGCGAGGAAGAAGGAATGTGGGGTTAAGGACTCGGGTGGAGATAGGAGGTTGGCGAGAGTTTAAGGCCCCAATGACCGGGTTGAGGTGTCGGGTGCCTCGCTTCATGGTAGACCTGATATTCGACAGCCTCAAGAGGGCAAGGGATTTGGTGGACTCGACCCTGGTCTGGACCCACCTCTTCCGGCTGCAAACAACGGGCATGTTCTACGACGTGTCGGTCAGACATGGGCCGTTCTGGGGAAACCACGCCTGGGAACTACTCGAATTACTCGAGATCTTGATATTCGGATTGCCCCACCTGTCGTTTGAAGAATATGAGCCAATAATTATTAGGGAAATAGAAATGGGGGAAAATTACCTTGCTGGGTTGGCTGACCTGTTCGAGGAACCGGATGAGCAAGGCAGGCCTGAGGGACCAGCATGAGAAAACGCGTCAGGAAGAGGTAGGGAAACAAAGGATGGGTACTAAGATAAGTAGGCGGCCGTCAGCAAAAGAGGGGCAGTGGTTGGAGTCCTGGCCGACCCAATGATGCGGCAGGAAGGAACTAGGAAGACCACCGCTCCAAAAGTTATGAGGCGCCTGGATGCCAATAAGCCAAAAGGGCCATACCCGATAGGGAAGCCACTGGGCTCAGGCACCGCCCTAAGAACCTAAGCGCGACAGTAAAGAAATGCCGAGCGGCGGCGGCAAGGCCGGCGGAAGAAAAACCTGAAGGACGCCCTGGGAAAGGAAAGTCAGGAGAGTCGGACCAATTAATATAAGACGCAAAAAACATGGAAACAGGCGGGTTTTAGAGCCGGGACTAGGACAGTTATGAACATCTGGCCATTTTTCGCAAAAAAAAATTTCCATGTGCAAGCTAGGTAAAGGGAATGGCGACATAAGAAAAGTTCGATGATCAGCAGAGCAGGGGGAGCCAGGGTACGAATGGGGGTGAGGAACGAAACGAGGGATCAGTGAAGGATCGAGAGTCAGCCAAACCGGAAGGAACCCGAGAAGATGGAAAAGACATCTCAACAGGAGAAAGTTCCGGGAAAGCTGGGGGTAGCAAAAGGGGACCTCAGGAAAACAGGGAAGGGGGAAACGATGTGAAAACAAGCCCTCGGAACTCAGCAGGAACCACCTCTAAAAAGACAAAAGTCTTAGATACCCGTCGCAAACTGGCAGAGATAGAGAAGCGGACTGCAGAATTTAAGGCAAGGCTCATTGAGCAGATGATGGTCGGGGATGAGGAGAACCCCCAGGGCGTAGGGTCGCGAGAAGGGCAAAGGACCACTCAGGACGAGGCCAGATATGAAGGAAAGGATAATAGCCACAGGGGGACGCCTAACAAGAAGGGGAAGGACAAGGACGACCCTCCGGCAGAAGGGACGAAAAACGCCATGACACCGCCCGCCATCGACAGCGGCACTGACAGACTGCTCGCCACGCCGAAAGTAACAGGGGCGTGTGACGGACTCTGTAGCCTTAGGGAAAGATTGCTAGGATGGTTTGACCCAGAAGGAATGCCCAAAACCAGGGAGAAGCAGAGGGAAAGCAAGGAAGGGAAAGGGACCAGTGCAGCCGGGGAAGCGGGTGCCTCCGAAGATGGTCTCAAGAGGGTAGTCGCCACCCTCAACAGGACACTAAACAAGAACCAGGGGTATCTCGCAGATGCAAAGAAGAAACTCACATTCGATGGGGCCAACATTACGGAGTTTCTAATAGACTATGAGAACCTCGCAGCCCTACTAAAATGGACGGAAGAGGAAAAAAAGGAGCACCTGGGGCAGCACGTGTCACTAAACTTGGGCAGGGACATCATGGCCATCGTCGCCTCCAGTGGATCCTGGAAAGAAACCAGGAATGAGATGATGAGGAAATACCTGAAGGCGGAGAAAATGGCAACAAAGGCCAAATTAGCCGCAGTCCAGAGGAAAAACTATGCGACTTACAATGATTTCCTAAGGGCATTCACGTTAGTGGCTCTGCGAATTCCCGGGGTAACGGACCGTATAATGAGTAAATACTTCCTTAGGCAGTTTTCCGAATTCGATAAAGATAAGATTTTGTCAGCATACCATCAGACTAGTAAGTTCGAATACACGAGAGATGTGGACTTCAACACCGTAACAGACCTTGCGGAAAAGACAGTAGTCACCGAGTCGCTAGCCCTGCTTAAGGAAGGGGAGGTCATAGATCTGACCGGGAAGACAGGGGATAAGGTCAAGAAGGTAATAGAGAGCCTGCACGAACGGGTGCACGGGGTTGATAGCAAGATGGACAGAATGGAAAATGCATTGTTAGTAATGCAGGCGCAAGTGTCCAAACCCGCCCTCCCGCCCCAAGAGGCCGTGGTTCCTGCAGCTGTAGCAAACCGGGGGTTTGGCAGGAGGGACCCGGCCAACGAACAATGCAAGTATTGCACCATGATCGGGCATTTCGTACGGGCCTGTCCGAGACTCAATCACGATATTGAGCGACAGAGGTGCAGTAGGTCCCTCAAAGGCGAGATCCTTGGACCCAGGGGGGAGCGTGCTAATTGGAACTCGCCAGGAGGGATGCGGCGAGCCGTCATCCTCCTGAATAACTTAGAGATAGTTGCCGTAGAAGCAGAGCCGATAGCCGAGATTGTCTGGGACCAGCCAAGGGGACGGGGACCACAGGCCAATTTTATCCTAGAAGGCAATGGCCAGGATAGGGTAAATATTACCACTCGTCGGGCCGGGGCAGAAAAGAAGCTCATCCAAGATACAGTAATGGAGGAACTCGCAGGGACTAGCACGGGCCAGCAAGAGACCGAAGCCGCAGAACAAGAGAAGGTCTATGGGAAGCCAAGGGAGGACGAACCGGTAGACAAGGCTACGGCCGCAAAAAAGAAGTTCAGGTATCAAATTCCGATCCTGACTTCGCCAGAAATCGATGGCACCTTGAGTAAGCTACTGGGTACCATGGTGTCGGTGTCTTTTCAGACCATGCTGCAAACCAGCCCAAGGCTGCATAAAGGACTCAGGCAGCTGCTAACGCGTAAGGGCGTAGAGGTAGAGGAGGCCCCGGAACTGCAAGAGCAGGACACGGAGGAGGCCGAGGCACCGCAAGGAGTCTCCAACCTCCAAAGCATTCCAGGGGGCCTGGGAGAGTTGTAGAAAGCCTTTGCGGACATCCGCCTAAGCCTACCGGATCGTGAAGGTGGCGAAGTCATGAGGGCGCCACCCGGGACAAAGCTTAGCTTTCATGCATTACCAGTTGGGAAACTTAAAGTTCAAATCGGAACTCACCACACTGACGCGTTAGTGGACGGCGGAGCAGAAATCACCCTTATACGACGGGATTTCGCAACGGTCACGGGGTGCACGGTAAACAAGGAAGTAGCAAGGAGTATCCGGGGAGCAGGTGGTGAAATTCCTTTCACAGGGTATGTCACCAAATGTGCAGTCAGGGCGGGAATCCGGGAATCCATCTGGTCCTTTCAGCGGATGACCGTGATGGAAGA